TTTCATTTAAATTAATTTCTTGAAAATGAAGATGTCAGTACTTAGTTTCAACTCTCAAAAAGGCAGTTGGTAAATACCATTTACAAGAATCACAGTACGTAAAATGTTTTTTTATTTATTTATTTTTTGAGTTAAATTACATGCTGGGTTGGGTGGAATTCAAATTTTTGATTTTTTGGTAGACAGTTTTCTTTAATATAACTAATTGAGCAATATTTAAATTGGCAGGTAAATTATTGATAACGTAGAGAACTTTGTGCACGAAAATAATAAATTATTTTACGAAGAAAAAACAAATTTTGAGTGCAAAACAAAGTCAATTTTTATCTTATTATATTTAATGTTTTTGTTTTTAGGCATATCTTGTGAGTATGATGTATTTTTTCCATCCTATATATCTAAAGTATCTATTGTTACCGTGCTTAAAAACTAGGTGGTCATTATTGAGACATCTAAAGAGGGATTGTAGAGCGTTGTGAGGCTCATTGTAATATTCTCTGCATATTGGAGAAGACTTGACGTAATCCATAATTTGGGGTGAACTAGTATAATCTCTGGTGTCCGTTTTTGTTTACTTGTATTTTCTTTACTGTGCCTTGATTAAAATGTGACTTGCTCGTAACTATGGAATGAGAAAACTAATTAGATCCAAGTCTTATTGAAGGACTAAGAGGATTTGTTATATTGCAAATTTTCCCCAACATTATCTTCGATTCTAAAATAAAACAACATTAGTACTAAAAAAGGAAGAAAGGAAACAACTATTCATCGGAAACAAATAAAATAAAATAATTACTATTAAATAGAGTTTGTCTTTTTATTCGAAAATAAAATAATTATTAATTATAGAAATATAAAATACAATAATCAGTTTACATAGGTATATTTAAATAAAATTAAATAATTATTAATTTAATAAAGAGTACATGTATTTTATTTTTCTTAGAATTAATGATTATTTTATTGTAGAATAGAAGATAAATTTTAATAAGTAACATTTATTTAAAAAAAATGCAATGAAACAATGACACTAGAAAGTTAAATTCATGCCCTCTTACTCAAAAGATAGCTACATTGGCCACTCCACCCAATTAGATATATTAAATTAAAAAGATGTACGTTATTCTAGGTGGCGACCCTACAATGTAGATCGTCTTTTCAAGACATGACCATACTAGATGGCGACAGTGCAGGTCATCTCTACTGTTAATTTACTTTAAAAAAATATATATTTAGATGAGGAGATGGTCGCCTCTTGGTAATGGAGAAGTTTTTTGGAGCATTATTTCTAGAATAAGTTTGGATATAGTATTATTTTGAAAATAAGTTTCAAAATTATAAATATAAAAAAAAGTCCTTACTAGCAACAAAAGATAAGACCAGCACAGTAGATGTATTTACGAGATGGACGTGTTTGAGACATAGTCTAGGATCCTTGTCTCCCTTCCTTTTCGGTCCAACTGCAGTACGACACTTGAACTCGAAGCTACGATCAGATCCGATTGGATTCCATAGATCTAGTCGATTGGGTCTGGTCCCATCCGACTCAATCCCAGAACTTCGAACGGCCACTCAAGAATGAGACATCAATGGTCCACCGACAAGCTTGTTTTGATCTTGGATGCAATACATTGGAATCTTTATTCTTTATGGGGAACAAAGCACGCAGAAGACAGTTTTTAACTTCCCATCAAAAGTACTGAAAATCCATTATTGATTTCAAGAAGAAAGAATTTTGCAGGGGTCACAACCACTGCATTGAACTTAAAAACAAAAAACTTTACTATTTATTTCCGGGTGGGTGTGTAAGTTATTTAGGTGGCGATAAGTGGGTTGAAAATTAGTCAATCTGAATATAGTTCAACTAATTAAACCATATATATTTGACAAAAAAGTGAAGCAATATTGAGTCGTTATTGAGTTCCGCTCTATACTTTTTCCTTTTGGAAGATTGTTATGCTTATGCTTATGTTATAAAACTGCATTTCACAAAGCATAGCACATTGAATTCTAATGTGTTTATTGGCATTTGTACTGAAATGGGTCCAAATCTGTCTACATACTCTTTTTGGGTTATACATGAGATGCCTCCACTTTTCTTTACCTAACTTTATTTCTTCTTTTTTTTCTTTATTGAAAATAATATCTTTTTGGTCCCCTCAAATTTGAATGTGTGTATTTTTCGAGGCCTTGCACTTGGAAAAAGCATGCAAAGTTTTGGAGTCTGACAAATCATCTACTCCATTCTTATTATAACTATTTTCTCCAACTTAATTTTAGGGATGGGGTATATACTTTTATGTTTATAGATTAATAAACTTCATTAAATATTTTATAAAAAAATAATTTAGTCAATTAATTTTATCTAAATTTTAATATTTAAAATACTATTTTCATATACAATTGAATTAAAATTTTTTTAAAAGAAAGTAGTAGAGAATTTTCTTCGCAATAAATCGTCGAACCTACCCATGACCCTTGAAAGCGGGGATGGAGGTTAAAATACCCTTTCAAGGATGGGGATGAGGAAGGCATGGCTCGCCCAGCCCTGTCGACATCCCTAGCTTAAATTGCATGGTGTTTTAATCATTGGCTTAGAGTTTACATGATGCCTAGGATTTTGGGGCTTTCAAGAAATAACTAATTAGTAAAAAAAAAAATTTAGTACAACAATCATGAGAATGGGGAATCGAACCTCCGACCTGAGAGAAGAAGTTAGGTGTCTTAACTGCTCAAGCAATTCTAACTTAAGTGACACAAATATCTTAATTGGAATGCTGACATGGTCATCACTTTCCTCTTTCATTCTACCTTCTCCTTTCCTCTCTTCCTACATCTTTAGCGAACCTTATTACTATCGCCGCCACCTATTGTCATCGTCCAACACTTGCTTGCCATAGTTGTTGCTATCCAATGCTTGCCTGTCGCTCAACCATATAAAGAAGAGAGAGTGTTCCAGATATAGGAACAATCTCATTCGTTTTAGATCGAGAAATAAAAGTTCGTTCCATCGATGAATGAGCCTAATCATTCATTGATATGAAGTTGGCAACAAGGAAGTTTGGCGGTCCAGTGAGTAACACAACAACACATCATCAAGCATCGAACAAACGGTGGGCTTGTGACAACAACAAATCATTTCATCGAGGAAAGAACCATCATGGTTTTTTCCAAATGTGAACGAACAAATCATCTCATCGAAAAATGAACTCAGATCTAGAACGAATTGTTCGTTCACGATCTGAAGTCGGCCTTCAGGGCCTTCAAGGAAGTTCAGTAGCACAAAAGCACATCAAACTAATGGTCATGTTAATTAAGGTATTTTGCCACATCATAATAGTCCCATCAACATGTTAGTTGCCATATCGAAGTTTTGTAAGGTTAATTAACGGTCAAATGAATTCAGAGACCATTTAGAGCTATTTTTTAATTCAGAGACCATTTAGAGCTATTTTTTAAACAGATCAGGTAGATACTAAACTCAAACTTCATTTACATTTTTACCCATTTTTACCCTTTGATAATTAGAAAAGTCAAACGCAATACAATTTTAAGAGACTTGCATTCCATGCATACCGTAATAGTTTGTGAAAATATTTTAAAAATTTCAAAAAACCAAAACTATCCATGGTTGAAAGCTAAAGTGACGGCAAATACTTGTCCCATAAAATCCTACTCTCCCCACCACCTCTCCATGTCCAAATAAAAATGTCGACCTGTTTGACTTTCAACAAAATGGCACTCTCAAATATCTCAGCATAGCTTCCCAAATATAAAGTACCCATAAATCAAAGCAATTTTCTTCAAAGAACATACCCATATCAGAAGCCATCATAATTACAAGAAATATTACACAGTTTTTTGATTTCCAGCAAGAAATTTTCAGACACTGAATATGATGATATAGGCAGATCCAGTTACAAGACATTATATGATAGAAGTCAAAAAAGATGTAAAAAGGAAAAAAAAAAAAGTTACAGTAACGTGAGAGATATTCCTAAAAGATTACTCGACTCGATCATACCGATCTCTTACCAAAACCCTTTTAATAACACCATTGTTGATGTGCATCTCAACTCAACTCAATCAATGGCAATGATGAGAAAACCAACTGATACATACATAAGGAACACAGGATAGAGTGCAAGAGCCTTTCTTCTTGGGTTCACTGCTGAACTCATGAAAGGGTATGCAGCCCAAGAACTCCAAGCCAAGGTCACACATACCACTATTATTTTCACTATTACGTTGTCCTTCAACATGCAGATCAATGCTCCGACATCCAGAGGGAACAGACAGTATCCCAAAAGACTCAAGCTCTGGAAGAAAATTATATGTCCACCCTGCAGTAGTGAATGTAAGGTCCCCAGTTATTCTATTTTGTTTTTCTTTAATAAAATGCTACTAACATGATGACTAGGGGTGTAAGGTTTCTATTCGTAGGAATAAAAGCTCATTAAACAGGGGTTAACCACACAAAGACACTTCATACACCAACTTCTAGGAAACTGATAGAGCACCCATTACCAACTTACGGAGTGTTTATTGTGGCACAATAGTCCTCCTATAATACTTGAGAGTGAGGCAAAAAAATACGAAAGTTTCAGTGAGATGAAAGCACACAAAAGTAAAAGGGTTTCCCTACGTCTAATCTCAATTAAGATAACTTAATTATTTGTTTCCCCGCAAACAAGACTAAAAATAGCACTAACAACGTTTCCCACAAAGTTAGAGCTTTTCCTTATAACAACTGCCACAAAGGAGAAATGGATGGAATTTTCACAGAGCAAGGGAAGAAGACCTGAGATAAAAATATATGGAGAAGATTCCCCCATAAGCAAATGAATATAGATACATGTAATTGGCATGAGGAAGATAAATTTCTATTTTCTTCGATGGGAAATTTAGAGGAAGGGTGTGGAAACTTCTAGGGGGCTTAAGCAAGGGATCCATTTTGTTTCTTTCCTTTTTGTGTTGTGGGTGATATCTTAAGCCGGTGATTCAAGGTGAGAGGGTGGGTAATGGGTATGTTGAATGAGTTTACAAAAGATGAGCACTCATAATTACAAAAAGGTTTTCCAGTTTGTCATCACCTTCAGCAAAACATGGCCTTGGTGAAGAGAATTTGAAGAGAAATAATTAGGCTTCGCTTATAAAATGGGCAAAGAAGGATAACTTTGGAAATTTTAAATATCTATATCTGTAATAAGGATAATTCTGGTTACTTCACTAAATAAAGAAAACCAGAAAGCTTTCCTAGCCCGTGGAAGGCTATTTCAAAGCTTGAATCATTTATCAATAAGAGTTGGAAATGGGAAGAAAACGTTGCAATCTCTTGTGTACTCCTTTCCTAGAATTTTCACAGTTCAAGAAAAAGAGGTGATGGTGAAAGATGTTTGGGATGAGAATATAGTCAATTAGATTTTGTGTTAAGAAATACTTCAACAGAAATTAGAGGAGGAGTTCCGACAATTGCTTCAGCTTCTTAAAAGGGATTGTATTTATCCAACTTCCAAGGGAAGATAGAAGATGGTGGTGCTTACACTCATAAGGTTATCTTCTTGGTCAAATCTTTGTTCTTTTACTTAAAGAATGTGAGAGGTGAAAGGTGCTTCCACTCGCAAGGAACCAAAGAATTTTCAACAATTCCTCTCACCCTTTTGATATATTTTTGTGAAAATGTAAAAATGAATACGGCCTCTTGGTGCCTTATTCATAAGAAATTCTTTGGTGCCTTATTCATAAGAAATTCTTTTCAATTACAGCATAGCGTTAATTTCTCAAGACTGGAAAGCTATAATGCGCTAGTTTATGGGAGGGCTTTCTTGGCCCTTGCCCTTAGGCTGCTTTTCCCTTTTTTTCATCAATATATTGTGTTTCTTATAAAAAAAAAGTGATAAGTTGTTACAAAAAAAATTTGGCTTTGAAGAAATGGAAATGCAAGGTATTAATTTTTTTGTATGGACTATTGTATGTACTACATGTCATGGAGGCTTAAACAAAGTGGAAAGCTAAGAAGCATGCACACTTCAATTTGGATAACGTGTCCATGTCGGACACCCCAACATTCCGACATTTATTGGACACGTATCGAACACTTGTTAGGGCAAAAGACTTGTGTCACACACTAGTTGTACAAAGTAAATATGAATTCAACAATTATTATAGGCACATATTCGAACACGTGTTCCTGACGCGTCCATGTTCTAAATTTTTAGAAAATAAAGTGTCGATGTGTTCATGTCGTACCATATCAGTGTCTCATGTTCATATCCATGCTTCTTAAGTGGAAAGGATTCAAAAGAAGTGTCCTAATATGAGTCTTCAGCCAGGTTGGTGACTGTTATGTACGAGTGAAAGGAGTTGAACCATTTGTTTTCCATTGCTTTTTCAGTCGGAAATGTTGGCTTTAGTTATACATCAATTTCAAGTGTTGGATCTTTGAAGAAATAGCCAAAGATTTTTTTTGCACCATAAGAAACAATTCATTGAAAAAGGAACAAAAAACAGCCTATGGACAAGGGATGAGAGGTCCCTCCCCCAAAAGAACACTAAAAAAGAAACACTCTCTCAAAACACTCTCCAATCCTGTAAGATCTGGAGAGAGACTGTAGTTACAAAAGAATTTCTAGTTCCTATGTCATCACCAAAATGTCCTAATATGGATACTATTACAAAAAGAATCAACTGAATTAGCCTTATCCTCAAAAGCTATATAGTTAATGTGGTTAGTATTCAAAAGGAAAGAAAAAAACAAAGATTTTGCGGGAGAATGCAATTATGTCTTTGGCTTGGGAAATATGAGTGAAGAGAAACCACCGAATCTTCCATGAAAAGGAACATGCTTGGGAAAAGGTCTTCTATGTGGCAAAGTTTAGTTTCAGATTTCTAAGTTACTGTTTCTTTCTTTGATACTGTTTCATTTGAACATTTTCACGGTGTCAATGCAAAGTATATTTCACTTTCTCAAACTAATACGGGAAAAAAAAAACAGGGAAACTATTTAAGCCAAGCAAATTTCAAGTGTTATGAGTCTTTCAACAACAAAGAGTCCATAAAATAACATTGCAATTACCAATGTGAACTAAGAAAGCAATTAGCTTTTCACATTTAGCAATTAGGAACCAGAGCCATTTCTAGTAGAGCTATAGTACATTAGTATATACTAACCCGACAGGTGTTTGCTTTATCTGTTTAAAATTACCTTGAGCCATAGAGAACTCATCTCAAGATCTCTGAAGTTCAGTTTTAGAAACACAAAAATTCTATCATGATTGTTGTGGTCAAGAGATCAGTCCAATTTTCAGTTACAATGGGTTTTGGTCAATTTCAACTTTTCTCAAGCAAACATAGTTGCTTCAGCATTGATTTTTTACTACAAACCAGAAAACACTAGATCGAACTCTTACACTCCTACAAATGAACACCGTGCAAAAAGGAAGCACTGTACTAAATTGGATAAGCATCAACTCTATTTTCTAAGAGACAAAAGTGATGATTAAATGAATCATGTCCTCAAATACGGAGAATGGGAAGGGAGCCGTGAGAAGAGGGAAAGAGAGATTTAGTTACCAGTAGAAGCACATTCAAAGTCAGAATCACTGCACCAGCCGCAAGAAGTGCAAATGCAACAGCAAAAACCTCAGACTGAAGAGGAAATCAATTAACATCATTAGTAGCATACCAAAAAAATTAAAAAGCCTTTATTTTATCAATGACAATACAAAAGTAGAAATTGAGAATGAGAAATGAAGGGCACATGACAGTGGGAAAAACATCAAACATGAAGATAAACAGAACATGGTTAAGGATGTTTAGATTTTATCATACATCTGCATTGTGCATCATAAATAAGGACAAGTTACAAGTTTTTGTTTTCAATATAGGGCGTTTAAATTAAATATTAAGGTCAAATCCATTACGAACTAGGTGTTAATACTTTCCTATGGGGTCAGTGTCTAAGGATTTTTTTTTTTTATTATTATTATTATTATCACCTAGATGTTATCCTTTTGGATTGAAGTCCCTTTCTTTAGGTGTGTCTCCTTCCTTTGGTTTTTTTTTATGGCCTAGTGTGCTATGTCTTTTTTCATTTTTCTCAAGGGAAAGTTCAATTTCTCATTTTTTTAAAAAAACCTCTATGTGCATCAATAGAAGCCTCTATACATCTCATCAATTCCTCTACACCTTTTGTTTTAAAAAAAAACTCTATTTGCATCAATAGAAGTCTCTATACAACTCCTCAATTCTAGTATACCTTTCTCTCCTAAGATACCGCACCACATAAATTCCTCCAAAATATTCTCTTATTCACTTTAAGGATCTCCCAGAACAAAAACTGCTGTCAAGAATCCTTCAATGCATGCCGTCTACACCAATTCAATTGAATAGCACCCAAGCTCTTTAGGGAAAATCACACTTACAAAGAGATGATCTCCGGCACTCTTCCAACATTTACATAATCCATACTAGCTGGGTTTGATTGAAATCCTCAGGTATCTCTTTTGTATCCTACCACACATTAATTTGTCCCACGTCTAACAACCACAAGAATAGATGCAATTTCATGCAGATCTTAAACTTCCACAACTTGCACTTCTCTTCGGACCCTAGACTGATTTTCAGGTATAAAACTATCCCTATTCCATTGAATTTTATGGATAAAAGCCCACTTTTAGCAGAGCATTTCAGGTTCAAAGTAGTGAATACTACTAGCCAGTGGCATATTACACGTTTTCATAAGAGAAGTGCAACTTTCATTGAGAACAAAAGGAGACAAGGGCTGCATGAAGAATTCAAACCTAGCTTTACAGGTAGAAACCATGGGAAGGGGTTAACGGTGAATAACAAGTAACAACTCGATAAAACAAAATAATGTGAAAAATAACACGATAACCATAATAACTAGAGCTTCGATGGATAATAAAGATCTCTGAGGTGATATAACTAAAATATAGTAGTATACCTTGGCCTAGTACCCAAAGTCGTAAATCTACAAGCCCCAGGGAAAGTACACCCTAAGTCGTAAAAAACCGATGTAATTTCCATTTGTTTTTTATATCAGAGTAGAAATATTACTGCCTTAGACTATTTATGAGATATAGAAATCTTGACAGTCCATAACTACATTGTTTCTTCTAGATATTTTCTCATACAGATCACAATGCAATGTAGATTCTGAGGCTTTGTCTATGCAGAAATCATTCTCCTGAAGATCCACTCTATAATTAAGCACAGAGATAATGGTGTGCGTCCTTCAAACCATCTAACCATATATCATCTGCATTCAAGAGATCTAAACAAAATCACTCCAGCCACTCGATCTACCGCTACCAGCTACTCTGAGGTCCAAATGATAAGCTACACTTGAATTTCAACAATGAGTTCAGCTCTGAATAATTGCAGATAGCTAGTTTAACCAAAACTCGAGCATCCCAGGGTCAAAACAGGCTAATATAGGGAACACCAAAAACAACCTAAAAGCCTGAAACAACCTGAGACTTGTACGTTAAGTTAATCAGATAAAAGACAGAGACCCTGACCTTCTTGACCGACGCAGACCACGAAAGAGTAAGACCGAGGAAGACAATGAAGAAGAAAGGACCCCAGAGGTCCCAATCCCTCAAAGCCTTTCCCGGGTCCTCACGGAAAGGGTTTGGAAAAACCACAAGCTTCAAATTGCTGACGATCCGGGAGAGATCCCTCTTGACGGTATCCCACACGGGCTCCGTCAGGGTGTTGGGCGCGGATCCGAAGCCGGTGGATGAAATATCAGGCCTGCCATTGCCGGAGACGGGGAGCGGTGGCGGAGCAGGGGAGACGGTGGGGGGCTTCTGAATAGTGGATTTGGGAGGAAGCGGGGGGAGATTGGATTGGATAAAGGGGGAGGAGGAAACGGGAATTGAAGCCCGGGGAGGACTCGGGGGGCGAGCTGGAAGAACGGTGGAGGGGCCGGATTGGACGCTGGCGTTGATGAGGTTCTCGATCTCGTCGATGTCGGACTGGGAGGATTGGTGAAGAGGAATTGTATCGCTGTGCGACATTTTCCCGGAAAGCAAATTTTCTCGGGAAAACGAAAGATCAGAATTCAGATCCAAAGAGGAGAAGTTGAAAGGAAGACGAAGAAGAAGAATTCTGTTAATCCCATGGGAGTTGGGGTTGAAGTTAAACGTCGTCGTTAAGAAAGTAACTGAAACAGACCCATATATGCGGGTCGGGTCAGACCATCGGGTGAAAATTATAACCGAGACCAACTGCACTTACATCACCCCGTCTTCACTAAAGTTTAGAATCGTAATTGATATATATCTTCAATCTGAGAGGTTCTAAGTTCTATTTCCTGTCTTTACATGTTGTATTAAATAAAATATCACGATTTCCTATCCTTACAGAATCGTAATTGATATATATATATTTAATCGAGAGGTTGTAAGTTCGATTTCCTATCCTTACATGTTGTACTGAATAAAATATCGCGATTTCCTGTCCTTACAGAATCGTAATTGATATATATCTTCAATCGAGAGGTTGTAAGTTCGATTTCTTGTCCTTACATGTTGTAGATCGAGAGAAAGAAAAAATATTATACAAATTATTTTAATGCCCATCATAAAATTTGTAACCTAAGCGTAGTGAAAACAGATGAAATCAACTTGAGTTCTCCCAATTTTCTTCCTTTATTTTCTTCTTATGTTCTTGTTTTAATATTGCTTTGATTTGTTACTCAATTTAACGTGCCTCTTTCATTTTTGTTCAACTAAAACTAGGTTATAAATTAAATTACTTATCTAACTTTGTAATATTTTAATTTACGATTAATAAATTAAGATTAAAAACTACAATTTTTTTTGGGAGAAAGTACCCTTTTGTTCCCTAAGTTTTCGGGTACATGTCACTTTTGGTTCTATTTGGTCCTATGTTTCAAAATTTTGTACTTGCACCCCCACACAGTTTTTAAAATACATTTAAATGGTCTCTCAACTAATAGGGTATCTCACAAAAAAGAGGACCGAACTGACGTGGTAATCCAAAAATACAGGGACCGAAAGCACACAATTTTGAATTATGGAAACCAAAGTGACGGTTGAATGATAAATTTTGACCAATCACAAATTTCGATAGAATAATAACAAAATTATATGTCGCTAGATTGAGACTAATTAGAATTTGATAACTGTATTTTTAAATTCAATTGAAAGATATTAAAAATTTAACACGATCTAAATGGAGCAAATTCAATTAAAAGGTATTAAAAATTTAATATGACTTAAATTAGCGATTGAAGTCAATCTAAACATGAAAAATTCTATAAATTTTTAAATACACTATTTCAAACAAATGTAATTTAATACACTAGTTCAAATCACAAAGTTTAATTTTCTTGGATGTTGGAGGTTAGGATCGTGTTAAACCATCAGACATGGATAGTCTAGTGCAAACTACAGTTTTAAATATTTGTCAACATGTTGACATGTCCATCGACATTTCCATCACGTTACAAAAAAAATTGATAAAATATGAAAAATATCAACAGTAATATATAAATAATATTAATACTGATCTTTTTAATTTAAATATTTTTTTTCTCATTTCTCTAATTTTTACAAAAATATCAATAACGTCGACATTTATAGATAAAATTGAGATATGTACGTTTACATTTGAAACCTTACCGTGGTACAAACTACGAACTTTTGTATAGAAATCTGGAAGAAAAAACGACCATTTCCAAGACCCAATACTCCAGGCCCTGCAACAGCGCCACCTCTCAGTTCTCTCGGAGCTTCAGTCTAAAAATGGTGATTTTGACCAGGTTAGCTCAGATCGCTGAATTACCCATAACTTCCTATTCGTTTCTGAAGCTTTCTGCGCCCCTTTGTACCCGCATTCATCTCCATCAATCCTCAGAAACCAGAAACGAAATCGAAAGAATCACCAAAATCATCAACGATCATCCATTCCCCGATCAACCCCTTCGCCCCACTCTTCTTCACCAAATTCCGCCTCCTCTTCCTTCCAACACGTTTCTCGAGGGTGTTCTTGGCCGCCTGTTCGCCGCCCATTCCAATGGCCTCAAGGCCCTGGAGTTCTTCAACTTCTTCCTCCGCCATTCTCAAGCCTCCCCAACTCCCGACGCTTTCGAGAAGACGCTTCATATTCTCGCTAGAATGCGGTATTTCGATCAAGCCTGGGAACTGATGCACGAAATTCGACGATCTCACCCTTCGCTGCTTTCCCTCAAGTCCATGAGCATCTTGCTTTCGAAGATCGCGAAGTTCCAAGCCTACGAAGATGCGATTGAAGCGTTCCGGAGAATGGAGAATGATGTGTTCGTTGGGAGAAAATTTGGTACCGACGAATTCAATGTGCTTCTTCGAGCTTTCTGCACTCAGAGGCAGATGAAGGAGGCGCGATCGGTGTTCCAAAAGATGTACTCTCGATTCCCCCCCAACACCAAGACCATGAATCTCTTGCTTTTGGGGTTCAAGGAATCGAGTGACATTACTGCTGTTGAACTCTTCTACCATGAGATGATCAGGAGAGGCTTCAAGCCAAATGCAGTAACTTATAGCATCAGAATCGATGCGTACTGCAAAAGGGGCTGCTTCAGTGATGGTCTGAGAGTTTTTGAAGAAATGGAGAGAGCAAAATTTGAGCCTACAGTGGAAACAATCACTACTCTAATCCATGGAGCAGGGGTTGCAAAGGACATTACCAAAGCACGCCAACTGTTTGATGAAATTACTCTGAGAAACTTGTGTCCTGACACTGGGGCTTATAATGCTTTGATAAATTCCCTTATTAGAGCTGCGGATGTGAAGTCTGCAATGGCTTTAATGGAAGACATGGAAGTCAAGAACATTGGGCATGACGGTGTGACATATCACATGATGTTCTCAGGCATGATGCGGTCGGAGGACGTCGGTAGCTTTTATGAGTTGTATAACAAAATGATCGGGCGGAATTTCGTGCCAAAAACACGAACCGTAGTCATGCTGATGAAGTTTTTCTGTGAAAATCGTCGAGTTGATTTGGGTTTGGATTTGTGGGGTTATCTGGTTGAGAGGGGATATTGTCCTCATAGTCATGCGTTGGATCTGTTGGTAACGGGGCTGTGTGCCCGTGGAATGGTCATTGAAGCGTTTCAGTGCTCAAAACAAATGTTGGAGAGAGGGAGGCAAATGAGTGAAGCAGCATTTCTGATAATGGAGAGATTTCTTTTGCAGGAAGATGCAATAGATAGATTGGGGGAGCTTCAACAGTTGAGGAAGAAGCTCAAAACTGTTTTACCTCCCCCACCAAACCAGCTTTCAACTGGGATTCCAGCATCCTCCTAAACAAATGACAATTGTAGGTAAGTAAATTTTAGCCCATTTAAAAGTACTTTTCGAAATTTTCATGTGTTTGTTTATATTGTCGAAAGTAATTGTGAAAATTTATAAAAATACTCGAAAGCATTTAAATAGATTTAAAGTGCTTTCAGAAAACAGTTGGAGGTGCTGTGTGCTTTTATTTTAATCACTTGTGATTTTTGGTTTTACTCTCTTAAAAGTGTTTTTGAGTGTTTCTTAGACAAGTACTTGAACCAAAAATACTCTACAAGTGCTTTCTCACCGATCACTTTGAGATGTTTCGACGTTTTTTTTTCTTCTTCTTCTTCTTTTCCTCTAAAGCATCTTAAGGACTTCCAAGCATGAATCGGGACTAAAAAAATGCTCTGGATCACGTCAAAAGAAAGCTCAAGCATAACCCGTGGTTTGTGGACATTCAAAGTTGTGTCTAAGATCTCTAAACTTTAAAAAAGATCTAATAGATACCCAAATTTTCAATGTTATGTATAATTGGTCCTGTAAGTTTAAAGTGTCTAACACATCCTTAAATTTTAACAACTATCAAATGTCACTGTATACTTTTAAGTTTTAATGTTGTCTACAATTTTCTAAGCTTTCAATTGGTATCTAATAGGTCTTTAAACTTTCAAATTTTTGTTGAGCAAACCGGACTTATAAATATTTTGTAAAGTTCATTGACCTATTGCACACAAAACCAAAAGCTTGGAAACTTTACTACACTTTTAAACTTTAGAACTGAACTTGTAACTTAACGCTTTTGTGCTTATAGAATCAGTATTTTACTTAAAAAGCACTGCTCTAAACACTCACTCCTCTTCAAATTGAAATGTTTCTGAGGTTTAGTTAATTGAAAATTTTCTTGACACCTTATTGGACATATTTATAAATTTCTTGAACAGGGAAATTCGCCTAGCCACTGAAGATCACTTCTCTTGTACATATATTTGGATAATTCTGTACACTGAACCTGATGCTGCGAGTGGCCGTGTCAGTGGCAATTGTCCCAAGGAAGCCTCGTCGGTTTAGATGGCATGGCCAGATTATATACAAGAAATCACGAAAGGTTTTGTAAGTTTCAAAACTCAGATTTTACATGGCCTTATAATATTGGGATGACTGAAAATGAAACTACACTTTTGTGATTTTTAAATTTTACAAACGAAATCTGCGTTTTAAAAGTAGTTTTAAACATCCTTGTAGTTAAAAATATCTCTAGATCATGCCGTTTCATTGAAAATCAGTAGTCTGGAAGAGGATGATTTGTAGGTTTCGCAAAATTTTGGAGCTTTCAAAATCATTTAAAATACCCAGATGGTATGAAGAGTTCACAAAACAAATGAA